GTATAACCTCTCTGTCACAAATTTATTTGCTTTAATTGGCATTAATTTGTCTAGTTACTGTAATAACGTAAGTTATATTTACCTAAAAAATGCAGAATTGAAAGGCCTAATGTTGTTCAAATGGTTTTTTGTTTACCTTGAATGTGAATAATAATGTGAATAATGCGAACCCTTCAATGAAAGTTTTATTGGATGTAGTAATATTATTTTAAAATCACTTGATTTTTATGATAACATTATAATGCCTTTGCCTTTCCAGTTTAATTCGGCCTTAGAGGGGGTTTTTCCAATCACCATCACGTTGTGTTTGGTTGTCAAAATTGTAAGGCCAGATTGAAAATCTACGCGACACGCTCTTTCCAATGAGACGTCAATGGATAATATCAGTTAAGAAACGGCAGATGAGTTCAACCGACAAACTTCGTGTTCGCGTATTAATTATATAGATCCTATCAAACTGGAAGGAAATCGTATTTTAGCCGTTTTCGATATATAGAGGATTAACAACCATTAGTAATTGAACGGCGCAAAGCGAAGCTCTTATACTACTCTCCTCTTTTTGTTTTACAAATACCTCTTGAACGGCTGAAGCGATCTACACGAAATTTAGCACGATTATAGTAACCAACCATGGGAATGTATAAATCTTAAATGGTACAAATTGGACCACAGGGCTTTTCCCTACGTGAATTTATTTTTTTGGAAATTTAACATGGGCCTTATGGGTTCATTGGTTGCTATGACTTTATTTGCGAGATAACACTAAAAATGTAAACAAGAGTCGCCACATATGTTAGTCAAAGAATCATTTAAAAAGTACATTACCGTATAGGACACAGAAAAAGGGAAGAACAATAAGATTAATATCATTGAGCATAATTTACTACAAAATGAAAACAACCAATAATTGTGGTCGCCGGAATAAGGCTGAAACACCTTTGACTTTAAATAATCTAAATATCCATTACATTTGAACCAAATATAAGCCTACCATTGAGTTATATTTCCATTTAACTTGCAATTCCAAGTAGGCTTTCCATTTCAGTGAACTAGACTTACAATTAAATAATGCAGACTTTGAATAGGTACTGCAATAATTAGGACTTCCATTAATATGAACCGAAGATACCACTGAGTTTAGATGCTGCAAGTAGACATTCCATTGACGTGAACCAGACGTAACATTGACTTAATATACTGCGAATCGGCACTCCGTTTATTGGAATCAAATTAACCATTTCTTTGGATCCTGCAAGTAGACAATTTATTTATGTGAACGATATGTACCATTGAGTTTGTATACTTCAAGTAAACAATTCGTTTAAGTGAACCCGACGTATCATTGACTTTGAATGCTGCAAATAGGCATCTTATTTATGTGAACCAAATGGACCATTGACATTGGATACTGCAAGTAAATTTCTCATTTTTGTGAAGCTGGTGTACTATTGATTTAGGATACAGCTACTGCAAATAGACATTTAATTTATGAGAACCAGATGAAACATATATACTTTGAAGTAGACAATACATTTAATTGAACCAGACTTGTAATTGACTTTGAATAACGAAATTATACATTTCATTCATTTGAAACAAAATATATACTAATGAGATTGGATACTGCAAGTATACATTTCATTTACGAGAAACATGTGTAACATTGACTTTAGAAAATTATTTGATTATTATGTCTGCTATCTGCTCAATATTGCAAGCAGACAACTGCATTGTACACCTAGTGTAAATTACCTGAAATGTAAAGTTAAAACTGTGAAACACAGGAACGTTTCTCATCCAAAGTCCCCGTGCGATCTCTAGTGTTCACTTGGTAATACATGTGTATTACAAAGTATAGGGTGTTTTCAACTCCCCACGTGAGTGTTAAGGTTTCGTAAAAAGTACAAGTTCCTGTATAAGGTAATGTTTTTCTTTTTGCGAAAGACTCTAAAAGTAATGAAAGGACATTTTTTATTTACATTTATTTCGATAACAAACAAGTGTTTTTGACATATAAATAAATTTGTTTGCACAAAACTTGTGTGTATTACGATCCCCCCCCCTCTAAAAACTGTTTTTTAGTAGTACATTTTAGGGAAAAATAATACCTTTACCATTCACAGACATAATATAATCTTTTAAAAATTATATATTTTCCGGGTAGTACATATGCTAGTTATTCAATATCAAACAGTTCAATGACAAAATACATATTTTTTAATACAACAAATGGTTTATATGCAAAACTTGACCAAATACACACACAAATTGCAGTTGGTAAAAGAAATATATTATTTACATTGTATAACTTACAAATAAATAACTCTTTCATATTGGAAACAGTATACAGTAAAATAAACTTAAATAACAACAAAAAATGTTATTTACCAATTATTAGTGTTAATACAATTATAACAAATATGTAATAACGGGGTGTCAAAAACACCCCACGTGAGTACATACGTTAGTAAAACCCGCGCGAGTAGTTAAAGGTTAAAGTACCTTTAGCATAGAAGTAAGAAGTATAGCAATTAATTAATCTGTAAGTATATAACAAAATTACATAATCGTTTGACAGGCGACGGTAGGTATATAGATACAATGATGCGGCAAAGGCTGCTGACAGTATTACAGCGGAGCGGACAGCGCAGGAACTTGTGGCGCTGACTGTACTACACATTCCACTTGGAGATATGAGACTCCACTCAACTTTTGGAGTTATGAGACTCTGGTTTAATTTTTACTTGGACTTATGAAACTTTGGAGTTATGATCACTTGGACTTATGAAACTTTGGAGTTATGATCACTTGCACTTATATTTTTCTTGGAGTAATGAAATTATCCCTTTTCGGGTACTTGTAGTTGTGAAACTTTGGATTAAATATAATTTGGAGTTATGATCTCTTGGACTTATGAAACTTTGGAGTTATGATCACTTGGAGTTATGAAACCTTGGAGTTTATGAGATGATCCCCCTGAGACAGTGAGAGCAGACTGTGGTTCTCAATTTGACTGCTGTCAATTCAAACAACTTGGTCGTGATTATGGATTTAAATTGATTACATCAAGCCCAAAATTTCCACAAAGCAACGGCTTCATAGAAGCGCAAGTAAAAAACTTTAAGTTCCACCATAGACTAAGCAACACAAGTAGACTCCTCATCCCATTGTAAATTTTGAAGCTTGTTTTTTGCATCTAGTTCATGTACGTCCACACTGATCGCTAGTGTAGACAACATTTTGTTTCTATTATTTTAGGGTTATTTTCATGATTTGTGCTTTACTATTTGGTTATATAACTAGGAGACCAGTTATTGTTTATGATTATATCGTTTTATTAGGTTAAACGAGGTTTTAAATGACTGCAATAACAAGAAACAAATTGTAAACAAAACATAACCTCTATAGTTGGACGTACAGAACTAACAATAAAATTGGCTTCAGCTGTTCCATTAGGATGAACTAATCTACTAAGGGAGTATGTTTTATCTATGGTTCCACTTAGAAAAAAGTGATGATCCCTACAAAATGCTACTGATGTTAAGAGCAACCCCTCTGGAAAATGGGAAGTCCAGCGGAATTACTTTTCGGGAGAAGGATCCGCACTCATGTTCCGATAATGTCTGATCAACTAATACCCTATCTGGTAGACACTGAAAAGTTAAGGGAAAAGGAAGAAGCAAGAATTGATCGTCAAAAGATTTATTTTGACAAAAGACATAGAGCCACAGAATTGCCTACTCTACCTGATGGAGCTTAAGTCCATATAAAGGACAGGAATCAAGAAGGAACTATATTAAACAAACATCCTGCACCTCGATCCTATATAATTCAAACGCAAGATGGTTGTTTGCGGAGGAACAGAAGATCACTGCAAAGATTTAGCACTACTATGCCTTCTGATCAACCAGCACTGCAGACCAGTCCCTCAGAAAACCTGGAAAACCTGAGAAGATCAGAACCATCGCAGACAAATCCTTTAGCGAATCTAAGAAGATCAACAAGACAATTCAAACCTACCCGGAGGTTCGATCTTTAAAGGGGAGATGTGTTGTTATTCATATGTGTTTAAAAACATATGGTGTTAGAATATTATTTGTTTAGTTTTTGTTGGTAAACATTCTGAATCTGGTTTATTGTAAAAAAAGCTACCTAATAAAGTATTTGTCTTATTAAAACTATATTTTAATTTAACTTGCGATAACACTACAATAGCCGCATTAGGTTGTCCATAATAACGATTATAAATTAAAAAAAAAAACATTATTTCTATTTCTTTTCCTTGGTGGTGTTCTATGACTTTCCTATGATCCATAATTTTCTTTTTCGTATATCAATTTATCCAGGCTTTCTCGATTTTTTCCATTGTAATATTTACAGTCAACCCAAATTCAAATAGTAACTATTTCATTTCAACCAAGTCAGTAAATGTTTGGAGCAAACTGGTAAATTAGCGAACTCATTGACTGTTTACAATTAACATATGTTCTTCTCACTTTTAATTTCTGACAACAGCTGGAGTTTCATAATAATTTTTGTTTCCCATGTTAATCTTATGGAGAAATACGAAACTTTAAAGGGCCCCAGGGCCTCACTCTCTAATTATTTTCCCAAAAAGAAAGTTTCCTGCGCAACTTCACGTTACTCTCTTTCCAATGACACCAAAAACATGTCAATCGGTTCAGTAGTTTCGGAGGAGTAATTGTCACAAAAAACCTGCTTGCGTATTAAATAAGTATATAGAATATAGATTCTGCAATAAATTTGAAGATTCACAAACAATGGTTTCATGGAAAAACACTAATATTCAATTATAGAGCTCTATGCTTTGTATCAAGAAGTTGGTAGAAGATAGGAAATATAGGCTAAGTTTTAGACCAATCTCTGATATTTAGCAATAACAAAATTAAATAAAACTCTTCTTAAAGTATTGGTATTCTAAATAGGTACATAATGGTAAGTGATTTAAGGATTGTTTAAGGTAAGAAAATTAATATCAATTACAGATGGTAAAATTATTTATTCAAAACAAAGAACCACTGATGAAGAAACTGCAGATTTTCTCCTCAAAAGTTCCTGAAAAAGAAAAAAAAAAATGAATAAATATGAGCTACAGTTAATATTTAAACATTTACTTACCTTTTATCGAACTATAAAATGTTGAATGGCCCAATAAAATTTTGATTTTGAAACAATAATATCAGGGCCAGTTTTAAACATTTTTTTTATTTGAAAGCAAACAACATTTCGGGCCCCCCTCTCCCCCATAAAAATCATATATGGCAGTCAGTGCCAGATTTTGGCAAAATCACTGCAAAAGGGGGCCACAGCGTTTTCCACTAAAACAATTTTCAGAACAAAAAATGAACTTTTATTTTTAAATTAATTATTTGCAATGATTGCGGGCAAAGATCAAGAATGATATGATAGGTTACGTACCTTTTTATTCCGCCTCCAGTCCTTAATATAGTAAAGGGTGACTAGATTCGGGTAAAAAATGACCCATGTCATCAAATTGATTGGTCCATAAATCCGAGAGAAGTCCTATAACGAAGACTTTTGTCCCGTTACTAGTCACTCCCCAAACCGAAACTAGTCACTCTTGACCTATATTAAGGACTGGAGACGGAATAAAAAGGTACGTAACCTATCATATCATTCGTAAATCAGACCTGGTGGCAATAATGTTCAAAGATCAAGATGTCCCCTGATTGCAAGGAGACTTTCATGTCAGGTGACTTAGTATCAATCAGGTGCAGAGTAAATATTATGTAAAAAAAAATATATGTTTCTTGCACTTAAAAAAACAAAAATCATTTTTCCAATACAGTAACTCTGATTACCTGAATCAAATGGGACCTCGTTCAAGAAGTCAAAATTCGGATAGTTGGATTTTTCCGAAATTGAGGGTATTTTTTATATGAAATACTTCATTCAGATTTTTGAGCCAAACCGAGCATATCATTAAGTGAGCACCAAAAAGATTTTTGTAATTCAATTATATACTACCTCGTAGCAGGGGTAACACTGCCCGCTAGAAGTCGGAAAAAAAACATAAACATAAGCATAGGTTGATATTCACATCAAAGCAAAGGTCTTTGTTAGACAATAAAATGCTGCAAATTTGAGTTCAGAAGAAATACTGAGTCAAAAATGGCAACCATTCAAAGAGGCAAATCAAAGTAATCTTTGAATGGCTGCCATGTTTGACTCAGTTACAGTCCATTTGAGTTTGGGTTTGCGACATTGTATATTACTAACAAAGACCTTTAATTTTCTGTGCATATAAATTATCAATTTATGCATACGTTTAAGATTTTTTCTAGACTCCTAGCAGGCTTAGCAGGTAGCTAACATATCACTGGATATAGTGCAGTAGAAATAGTGTTTGAGGTGGAACTAATTGCAACAATTATTCCAGTTAGAAATGGTAGGTAATACACTTATAAAAAACATACTTATAGTATACATTTGTACTGTTACGCAAAATACGGTTTTTTGGCCGCCATTTAAAAAAAGTGTAAAATTTTAAATTATTGTTAAAAAATCTGGCTTGGTATCAAATTATAGAACATTTCATGCTGGAAAAGAACATAATGGTTGAATTTAAAATATACTGTTAACAGTGATGCACTATGGGCGAAAAAAGGTGCGTTTAAAAACGTGGCATTTGAAAAGTTTTTTTATTTATAAGTTATTTTATACTTTTAAAATGTGTTTTTTTTTTCATTTTTGACCCTTAAAACGTAAAATTTTCCAATTTCTCTCTAGACCTTTTAAAAAAAAACAAATAGTTAAGTATATCAAAGGGTTTTTGTACGATTATTGGTAACGGGGAAAATTCAAAAAATTGGAAATTTAAAATCCCCATGTTATCTATACTATTATATAAAAATCTAATGGTGTCTGTCTGTATGTGTGTTACTAATAGGTGCAAAAACTACTGAACAAACTGGGCTAAAATTTTACAAAAATATAGTTACCATACCAAGTCCCATTATAGGACTCTTCACATTTCGATACTGACCGTAGGCTTTGCCCCTTTGGCTTTAAAAGTTCTGAGGTGAAGATTTTAAAAGTAAATATTGATTGGTCTCCATGGCTGCGATGAGAACACTAACAATGTTTGTTTACATTTGCTTTGACATTTAAATGTAAACAAGAAGAACTGCTTAACTGCATATTTCACAATTTCAGAGAGCTGATACAGAGAAATTAAATACAGTAGAGTCCCGCAAACTCGGCGTAATGTGGACTGGAAGGGTGCCGAGTTTGTGAAATGCCGGGTTATCGGGAACTAGGGTTAAAAATAAGAACAATACAATTGGTAAGCTAATTAACTACCTCTTTTATTTATATTTATATTACAAGTCAGTATTAAGTCATCAGATATAGTAAAACAAATCATTTGTACGAGCTGAGAATGATTTGACTTGTGCTGGGTTGAGTTCCATGTTCGGACTCAAAAAATCACCAATTTTCTGAGCCAGATGATGGCCGAGTTATCCAGACTGCCGGGTTATCGAGTGCCGAGTTTGCGGGACTCTACTGTATAATATTTTCTATAACTATGAGGTAGGTTTATTTTAATTTAACCTTTTATCATGGATTATTTATTCTAAAACTATGTCAATGATTATATAAAAAAAAGATTCTATAAGCGTTGCTGTATCAACTCCCGTTATCAACTCCGGCTCTGCTTTGGATTTTTTTTAAACGTCTAAGTTATGAAAATACAGTAATGTTATTAATATGATTTCATGGAAACAGTATGAAAATTACAATGAATTTGGAGGCTACTTTAAATAAATTCTAACTGCTTAACATGTGTTAGATTAACTTAACATAACTTGCACATCACATTGTTTTTTTATATGTATATTTAGGTAAATTAAGTTATTGTGTTTTGCTAAACCTATGCATAAATTAAACTAAAGAATATCATCAATAACTAAATTGTACGTCGTTGATTTTTGTTATTAAAAATCTGTTGTATATGTGTAACTATAATTAATTATCAAATGGTAATAAACATAGCTTTCAGTTCACATTTACTTTATTTGATAAATTTAATATTTGTGTTTTGCCACACCACTGATTAAATTAAACCAAGGAAAATGTCATAAAACTAAGCAGTAGCCTACACAGTGTTCTTTTGTTTCTAAAATCAATGAAATAGCTGTTACTATGTTTACTTAATGGTAAGTGTGAAAATGTAAAGCCATTGGATGATGGAACTGATTAAAAGAACTTGTTTGTATATTAAGTTGTTTGTTGATATTTTTGTATAGTAGAATCAGAGATGCAATGGAACATATACTGTATTTGCTATTACATTTTTTAGTCCTTGATGCTTTGATAATCATATTAGTTTTGTCTGCTGTCTTTAATGCTAAATTATTTGTTTCAAATTTTTTATAGTACTTATAGATATAGTTTCTTTAATATTTCAAAAGACTGTATTGATAAGGCATATATTACAAGCCATAATAGCAATATTTCTAAAGTTTATAACAGCTGACTTAGTTTTGCTAATGATTTATTGTGAGTGAAGAAACTGAAACGGAAGAATTTTTGTGATTTAATATAAAGAAGAGTGAAATTTTAAAAAATCATTTAAAGTTAATAATTAGTAGTTACATCAAAATTGAAATTTAAAATGTCAATAATAAATAAAAATATATGTAAATAAGGGAGATGAAATGGTGGTATCTACTACTTACCAGAATTAAAAGTCATAACTTAAACGTTAAAACGCCATTAAAACGCTATTAAAACGTGCTGTTAAAACGTTATTAAAGCCATAAAAGTTGAATTTTGTTTCTAAAAGCGTTGGCAGATGTGTAACTATTACATGCAACAGATGTAAAGATTAAAATGTTTCTATTTTGTGTCCTCTTCCCGTTTCAAAGCACGGGTACAACAGCTAGTTCTTATAAAGAATATGGTAAAAAGTTGAAGTTTCCTTGTTTATGGATATATTTTGATAAAACTTGGCAGATTTATTTATTTTATACTAAACAATTAATATTTTACTAAAAAGCACACTTAATTAGTTTCCTTGTAGCAGCAAACCTTGGTACTCGTTTCGTTAAAAATAATGTTATTTATTTAATAGACTAGCAGCAACAGAGCCTATTGTGGTTAAATACAACGGTCTCTAGTAAAATAATGGTTATGAAATCCATACACTACTTTGCTCACTAATATTTGGTACAGATTAAGCTCATAACATTAGAATAACACACTTAACATAAGAAACAATCTTTAAACACAAATGCAAATTGTTAACAATAATATTTAATCAAAGAAAATCAATTAAATAACAATATAACAATAAGCTGTTAAATTATTAACTCATTTTTCGTATGACTTACCAGTATGCATAATACTGGTAAATAAATTATTGCCATCTATAAAAATAATTGTTTTTTCTTTTCCGAGTCGGGTTAGCTCTTCTACCAGACCGATTTTCATAATTTTGGCCTTAAGGGTGTTCGGCCCATTTTTAAAAATATTTTATTTTAATTTTTTTTTTCTTACCAATTCATTAAGCTATTAATAAGAATGGAAAAAATGGTTTTTAAAAATTTTTCCCCCATTTATTAAGTGAGATATAGTGCTTTAAAGTGTACTCTCCTTTTAACGTTAAACTCAAGAACGGAAGTAGACTGAGACACCAAAAATTACAAAAACCATTGTTTAATGCCCCTTAACTTCATGAGCTATTTCAATTTTCATAAAAGCTATAAATAAAAAATGTGACATTTTTTTTAAAATCACTACAATTATGCGGTTTGTGGTATTGCAACAAAAATTAGCTCATAAGACGAACAACTAATGGAAGTATGAATAAAAAATTAATTACATTTAAAAACTTAAACGGTTTAGAGATGTAATGTAAAACAAAATATTGGAAAAATACGGTGGCGAGGCGTTGCGTGTGTGTACAGTGCTCAGACGCGCACTCACGGGGCGCGGCGCGTAATGGGACGTTATATTTCAATAAGGCTTCAGTAAGGCTTCCGGGACAGAGACCTAATCGAATTTACTTCGCTTTTCTTTTGATAACTCAT